CTTGCATCCCATGTCAAAAACTTGGATGAAAATGGCTTAGATTTACTCTCGAAAATGTTAGTCTATGATCCCGCCAAACGAATTTCTGGCAAGATGGCACTGAATCATCCATATTTTAATGATTTGGACAATCAGATTAAGAAGATGTAGCTTTTTTGACAAAAAGTTTCCACATTATATTGAGAACAGATTGTTGTATTTTTTACTGTTAACTCTGTCTGTTTTTGTCTTGTATATTTTTCTTTTCTTTGTTGTAAAACTTAAGCTGTACTTCATCTTCTAATTTCAAAAGTATAACTTAAAAATGTAAATATTCTATATGAATTTAAATATAATCTGTATATGTGTGTAGATCTCACTGTGACAACTATTTGTTACTATAATAAAACTATAAATCTAAAATAAAAAAAAATAAAATAAAAAATAAAATACATTCTATTTGTTTCTTCTTAATGCTCAAGATTTTCACTACTTTCTTGAACATACATCTTACCATCCATTTTACTCATTCTATCATCTAGACATTTCTAGATCTGTTTTTATTAACTTATTTTTCTTCTCTTATGGATCATTTTACTCCTTCTTTCCATGCCTGGTAATTTTTTTATTTCAGCATATTATGGGGGTACAAATGTTTAGGTTACATATGTTACCTTTCCCTACCTTCCCTCTCAGAGTCAGAGTTTCAAACGTATCCATCTCCCAGATGGTGCACATCACATTAATTATGTATGTATATACCCATCCCCTCCCTCCGCCCATCTTCCCAACGCCTGATTCATGATATTCCTATATGTCCACTTAGGTGTTGATCGGTTAATACCAATTTGCTTGTGAGTACATGTGGTGCTTATTTTTCCATTCTTGGGATACTTTGCTTAGTAGAATGGATTCCAGCTCTATCCAGGAAAATACAAGAAGTGCTATATCAGTTGTTTCTTATAGCTGAATATTAATCCATTTTTTATATATATATATACTGCATTGTATTAATCCACTCATGTATTGATGGGCACTTGGGTTGTTTCCACATCTTGGCAATTGTGAATTGTGCTGCTTTAAATATTTGTGTGCAGGTGTCTTTTTTACAGAGTGGCTTTTGTTATTTTGGGTAGAGGCCCAGTAATAGGATTGCTGAATCAAATGGTAGATCTACCTGTATTGTTTTAAGGTATCTCCATATTGCTTTCCATAGAGGTTGAACTAGTTTGAAGTCCCACCAGCAGTGTAGAAGTATTCCTATCTCTCCACATCCACACTAACATTTATTGTTTTGGGACTTGTTAATAAAGGCCATCACTGGAGATGAGTGATATCTTATTGTGGTTTTGATATGCATTTCCCTGATGATTAGAGATGTTGAGTATTTTTTCATATGTTTGTTGGCCATTATTCTGCCTTCTTTTGGGAAGTTTCTGTTCATGTCTTTTGCCCACTTTTTGATAGGGTTGTTTAATTTTTTCTTGCTTATTTTCCTGAGTTCTAAATAGATTCTAGTTATCAGTCCTTTATCCGATGGGTAGCTTGCGAAAATTTTCCCCCATTCTGTGGGTTGTCTGTTTGCTCTCGAGACAGTTTCTTTGGCTGTGCAGAAGCTTTCTAATTTGGTCAGGTCCCATTTATTTATTTTTGTTGATGCTGTGATTGCCTTTGGGGTCTTCTTTATAAATTCTTTGCCTAGGCCAATGTCCAAAAGAATATTTCCAATGTTTTCCTCTAGAATTCTTATAGTTGCACACCTTATGTTTAAGTCTGTTATGCAGTGTGACTTGATTTTTCTGATAGGTGAAAGGTGTGGATCCTGTTATAGTCTTCTACATGCGTCTATCCAGTTTTCCCAGTACCATTTATTGAATAAGGATTCTTTACTCCAGTGAAAGTTTTGTCTGCTTTGTCAAAGATTAGATGGCTATATGAGAATGGTTTTATATCTGGGTTCTCTGTTCTGTTCCACCGGTCAATGTCCATGTTCTTCTGTCAGTCCCAAGCTGTTTTAATTACTATAGCCTTGTAGTTTGAAATCTGTAAATTGACACCTCCCATTTTTTTTATTTCAGAATATTATGGAGGTACAAATGTTAAGGTTACGTATATTACCCATGCTCCTCCCCCTCAATTCAGAGCTTCAAGCGTGACCATCCCCCAAATGTTGCACATCTCACACATTATGTTTGTATATACCCATCCCCTCCTCCCTCCTCCCACCTGCCCGACACCCAATAAATGTTATTCCTATATGAGCACTGAGGTGTTGATCTGTTAATACCAATTTGCTGGTGAGTATATGTGGTGCTTGTTTTTCCATTCTTGAGATACTTCACTTAGAATGGGTTCCAACTCTATCCAGGAAAATACAAGAGGTGCTATATAACCATTGTTTCTTAAAGCTGAATAGTACTCCATGGTATACATATACCACATTTTATTAATCCACTCATGTATTGATGGGCACTTGGGTTGTTTCCACAACTTTGCAATTGTGACTTGTGCTGCTATAAACATTCGAGTGCAGGTGTCTTTTTTATAGAGTGTCATTGGATCCTTTGGGTAGATGCCTAATAGTGGAATTGCTGGATCAAATGGTAAATATACTTGTATCACTTTCAGGTATCTCTATATTGCTTTCCACAGAGTTTTCACTACTTTGCAGTCCCATCAGCAGTGTAGGAGTGTTCCTCCCTCTCCGCATCCACAACAGCATTTATTGTTTGGGGACTTTTAGATAAAGAGAATTCTTCCTGGAGATAAGTGATATCTCATTGCAGTTTTGATATGCATTTCCCTGATGATTAGAGATGTTGAGCATTTTTTTATGTTTGTTGGCCATTATTCTGTCTTCCTTTGAAAAATTTCTGTTCATGTCCTTTGCCCACTTTTTGTTAGGGTTGTTTGGTTTTTTTCTTGCTTATTTTCCTGAGTTCTAAATACATTCTAGTTATCAGTACTTTATCCAATGTGTAGCTTGCAAAAATTTTTCTCCCATCCTGTGGGTTGCCTGTTTGCTCTCTTGACAATTTCTTTGGCTTTGCAGAAGCTTTTAATTAGATCAGGTCCCATTTATTTATTTTTGTTGATGCTGTGATTGCCTTTGGGGTCTTCTTTATAAATTCTTTGCCTAGGCCAATGTCTAGAAGAGTATTTCCAATGTTTTTCTCTAGGATTCTAATAGTTTCACACCTAAGGTTCAAGTCTGTTACCCAGTGTGAGTTGATTTTTGTGAGAGGTGAAAGGTGTGGGTCCTGTTTCAGTCTTCTACATGTAGCTATCCAGTTTTTCCAACAACACTTATTGAATAAGGATTCTTTTCCCCAGTGTATGTTTTCTTCTGCTTTGTCAAGGATTAGTTGGCTATATGAGGATGGTTTTATATCTAGGTTCTCTATTGTGTTCCACTTGTCAGTGTCCTTGTTCTTGTGCTAGTACCAAGCTTTTAAAAATACTATAGCCTTGTAGCCTTGTTTGAAGTCTGGTAAATTGATACCTCCTATTTTGTTTTTATTGCCTAGGACTTATTTTGCTGTATGGGATCTTCTCTGGTTCCATATGAAGCATATAATTATTTTTTCTATATCTGTGAACAATAATGATGATATTTTATAGGGATTGCAATGACTCTGTAGGTCACTTTCAGTAGTATAGACATTTTAACAATGTTGATTCTGCCAACCCATGGGCATGGTATGTTCCTCCACCTGTTTATATCCTCTGCTATTTCCTTCTTCAGTGTTTCATAGTTCTCCCTGTACAGGTCTTTTACATCCTAAGTTAAATATACTCTTAGGTACTTTATTTTGTTTGTTGCTCTTCTGAAGGCAATTGAGTATTTGATTTGGTTCCCACTTTGACTGACTGTTGCTGGCATATATGAATGCCTCTGATTTCTCTGTGTTGATTTTGTATCCTGAGACTTTCCCAAATTCATTTATCAATTCAAGTGTCTCTTGGTTGAATCCTTGGGGTTTTCTAGGTATAATATCATGTCATCAGCAAAGAGTGAGAGTTTGATCTATTCTGTTGCCATTTGGACGCCATTAATACTACTGTCTTATCTGATTGCTGACCAAGGACTTCCAACACTATGTTGAATAGAAGTGGAGATAGTGGGCAACTTTGCCTTGTTCCAGTTCTAAGTGGGAACGCTTTCAATTTTCCCCATTCAATACGATATTGGCTGTGGGTTTGTCATATATGGCTTGTATCATTTTTAGGTAAGCCCGGTCTATGCCTATTTTGTTAAGCGTTCTTATCTTAAAAGGGTGTTGAATTTTGTCAGATGCTTTTTCTGTGTCT